TTCCCGATGCAGAGATCCACTTCGACTCCACCTGATGTTCAAGACGTATAATTCCACCTAAACCCTACCCTGCGGGTAGTTCAGGGTATATAAGGGGTATATAAGGGGGGGTACCCTTTTAACGGCCCATACTAAGGGACCATGACACTACCCCAAGACGTAGACCCCTTCCAACTTCACAGCCCCTAGCCCTAACAGTTCTCAAGCCCCAGACTGGGGGAGCTTCTGCTGAAATCCCTTTGCTGCGCAGCCCCCCCACTCCCCCCACCCCCCCCAAAGCTCCGTAGCCATATAGGGCTGGAGGTCCACATGCATGGTAGTCTTACAGTAAACATCAAGAGGAGCGAAAGCCCAACCCTCAACCCTCCTTGAAAGTCCACGGGTAGCAAAGGTAGGAAACCCTAAACCCTAAACCCTTATCAGAAGTATGTGCCGCCATAGTTAAGGTTAAGGCATGCATTGAAATCCCTTGCTAATTACTGTGCACGAGCCCTCAAGTAGGCTCTAGAAACGGCCCTAAGCCCGAAACCCTCACGCAAAAGCCCCAACCTCTACGTAAACCCTTTGGGACCCTAAACCCAGAGCCCTAAACACCCAGCCCTAGACTCAAAGCCCAACCCGAGGGCCTTTGTCGATGCATTTGATGATCGGAATGGACGCCTGTATCATGCCCGCAAGCGATGCCCCAAACCCAGATGTCACCCGTTGGGGATTGTTACTTGAAGGTTCATGGGTAGCTATAAATGGGGTTAGAAGTACACTGGATAAGGTAAAAACCAATTATACTTATGGTTACCCTACTTATAACCCACTGAAAAGTATTCATGAACCTCCAAATCGGGTTTACGGCTAAGGGCTCAGGATTTATGGCCCCTCCTAATGCATCAGCTGGGCGGTTGAACGCTGCTGCCTGAAATGAGAAGTCATTTGGGGATCTCATGCGGGTGTAGGGCGCAGGGTGTCTGAGCCGTATATAAACCCGGTATAGACCTCTACCCTGCACCCAACAAACTCTTAACCCTGCTCCCCAAAATCCCCAAACCCTAAGGCCGTAACACCCACAAACCCTGAGAGCAGAAGCTCAGCTCAGGGCCTTCGACTGGGGTTCGGGTTCTTACAGAAAACTCCAAAGAGTTGGAAAATCCTTTATCACCATACCAAAGCAGGTGTACGAAAGATCTTTGAACCGTGCTCCCCCTACTTTGGACACTTGGAAAAAAGTATATACTCTTTAGGTATAAGTAGCCAGAATAGGAACCCAGAAACAAAAAACAAAGTATAGCACTCCATGCTCCAACTTCCTGGAGTTTGCTGTAGGGTTTCGGGAGGGTGCGGCCTGGAAGATTTGGATGATGCTCTTGAAGCCGTGACTGGGCAGCAGAGGGTTTAGGGTCAAGCCTGAACCCTAAACCCTAAACCCTAAACCCTAAACCCTAAGCCCTAAACCCTAAACCCTAAACCCTAAACCCTAAACCCTAAACCCTAAACCCTAAACCCTAAACCCCAACCCCATCAGGTTGAGCTCAACTAGGATCCCCTTTCGGAGTTTAGGGCTCGGGCACTAAAACCCCTAAGGAAGCCAACAGCAAAGCCACCGAAAGCCCCCAAATCCCAAAGCACCCTGACAGCCCTAAACCACACACCCTAAACCCTGAATCCTAAACCTAAAATCCTAAACCCTGAGCTTCCAAAGTCTGTTTGAGAGCTTTGGGCATCAAAGTTTGTGAAGTTTAGGGCTACTCGAACCATTGTAAAAAAAACTTTTTGGTTTTAGGGTTTAGGGTTGGTCTGAGAGATTCTCTTTTGCACATGTCCTGTGTGGGGCACCACCTACGATGCCTAAACTCTGACAAAAACCAGCCCTTAAACCCGAAACCCCTTAAAAGACATCAACCCTAACAGGCGAAGGCCTAGCTTTTGCGCCCCAATCCTACACGCTAAGCTCTGTGAAAACTTGATTTGCATCTCAGCCTTGGAGTCCTTAATAGGGATTGTAATAGGGGTACTATAATCCCTCTGCAGGACTGTTAGTATAAGGGGGAGCATCAGATTCCCAAGTGTCCCGTTGACAGCCCCAAAGAGCCCTGATCCGCCCCACTTTCTTGCCTCCGGTTTAGGGTTTAGGGTTTAGGGGGTCTACTTTGGTTGAAGTGAACCTACTGTCCACCCGCCGATGACTACCCACCAAGCTCCAAGTCGGACCCTAAACCCTAAACCCTAAACCCTAAACCCAACACCCAAAACCCTAAACCCTAAAACCCTAAACCCTAAACCCCAAACCCTAAACCGTAAACTCTAACCCAAAACCCTCAACCCTAAGCACTAAGCCCTGGGAGGGTCCTCGGAAGCTCTTGCGCAATGAGCTTGAGGATGTGCAGGGCCGCCTCGCCCCAAACGTCCTGGCACTGCTTCTGGCAAAGAGAAAAAAGCTTCCGAAAATAGCGGTACGATTTTGGGGGTTCCTAACATGGGGATTGCAGTATTTCTTCTTTGTTTGATTTTTGGCGGGGGGGGCGGGGGAGGGGGCAAGGAATGGTAAGGTACTATTCTGCCCAACCAGAAAAACGATCACTATCCTAAAATACGATAAAGCGCCTAGAGGCTACGAGCGTTTCGGGACCAAGCTGAGCAACCAAGAGCCGTCCGAAGCCACCAAAACCAGAGACCAGAAATCCGAATACAACCAAACAAGAATGAAACCCTAAACCCTAAACCCTAAACCCTAAACCCTAAACCCTAACCGCTAAGGGCCTTTGAGCATTTAGGGGTTCACTGGGTTTGGCTTTATGGGCAAAGCTTCTGGGCTTCGGGATCTCAGGTGTCGACTTGAGGTTTCATGGCGGGGTTATATAATTAGGGTAACTAAACATATACTTGGTTCTAACCTTGTTTATGGTACTTATAACCCTACTTGTAACTACCCATGAACCTCCAAGTAGTTCAGGGCTCAGGGGCCTCTTGTGGCACGAAAGTGACATCGCAATCAGAATTTGCAGTGCACCTTGGCGGGAGGCGAGGGCGAGCGGGCAAGTCGCAGATTTGTAGATCACGATGACTTCGGGTTTAGGGTTTAGGGTCCGCAAGTTCATAGCCCAGATAGACGTGTTTTCAACCAGGTTTGTTCGATCAAGCTCTCTCGTAGGAGGGCAATGGGGATTCCATGGTGGCAAGCTCGGTAAACCCAAACTTCCTACATCCGCAACCCCCACCACCCCCACCCTTCAAAATCTAAACCTCCACGAGGCCTGAACCCTAAACCCTATAAACTCGAAGCTCTATTTGTATCTGCGCTTACAGTTATAGCGATATGTGCAGTGAAAAATGTTGCTAAAGTTCGGGCCACAAGGTCTTCGGAAATCAGAGGCCCCGGCATGTCAAATGTTTCAACTTTTGAGACATTAGTTAAATTGACACATTCTTAGGGGTTTCGGGCTTAGGGGCTTGAAATAGTCACAGTTTCTACTGTTTCGAGTTTCGGTGCTTTTGAGCTGCAGCATTCAAAACATTCAGAGCCTTTGACTCATTAGCTTTGCTTGCTTTCTTCTCTCAAAAAGTTTTAAGTTGAAATCCGTCGGGCAACCATCGGGGCCGGGGTTTTAAATGTTTCGAAAAATGCTTTGAAGGGCAGCAGTTGAAACATGTTCAAAACCTCTGAACTCGCACGGCCCACGGGTTTCCCGAGGGGTTTAACAACTTGAAACAAACGAAATCTATTCCATTGCTCCGACTGTTTCAGATGATTTCAAACGTCGCAGTTGAAACGAAATATATCGGTTGTTGCAGTTGTTTCAAAAGCTATGCAACAGACGCAACCCCGTAGGAAACCCCAGACAAAAAAGTCGCCGTAGTAACCCGAGAAAGCCCCTAAACCCTAAACCCTGGCGATTCAGGGTTTGGAGGTTCTGCCCTGGTCTGCTAGGAAGAATCCAAGCTCCCGGCAGGCCGTTCGCATGCGAGCCGAAGGGAACGACCTCACCCTGTCACAGGGTAAACTCGCCAGCTTTGGGCAGCAACGTTTAGGCCTTGGGATTTAGGGTATATAGGGTTGAGGGCGGGTTAGAACCTACAAGTACCTCCTTCCTAAGCACGAGCCTTACACGGATGTGTGAGTCCAAGTTGCACGTTGTACCCCAAATCTTCTGACGAAAAACTGATCCAAGAAGTCCCTTATTCGAAAAGGGGGAAAATGAACAAACCCTCAGCCCTGCAAACTGTCAAAACCCTATAAAGCCTATGAACCCTATCAACCCTATCAACCCTCTCAACCCTATAAACCCTACAAACCCTGTCAACCCCATAAACCCTGTAAACCCAGAGCAATTTTAACATGGGGGAGAACCCTACACCCTACGCAAACCCTTTAAACCCCATAAACCCTATAAACCCTGAAAAACCCATAAACCCTCTTAAAGCCTATAGAACCTTATGAAACCTCATAAAACCCCACAAAACCCTATGACAACAACAAAAACACTTTAAACCCAAAGCACGGCCCAGGAATCAGCGGCGCACATCGCACCTCGATCCCGAGGTGCCTTGCCGCCGCCTGGATGCGGTCCACCTCGATAATTGGCCCAGACCCAGGGTGTAGGTTTGGGGTTTAGGGTTTAGGCTTCTTCAACAACCAGCTTAATTCACGAAATGAGGGGTTTGGGATTAAGGCTTTGTGAACTTTTGAGCGATCTGGGGAGTAGGAGCGTTCCCTCCTCTTTTGGACTTACGGAAACCTAAACCAACTCGGCCGTCTCTCTCTTGTACTCAGAAACCGCCAAGGTCTCAACCCAGGAAACAAAGAAGCTACGGGTTCTGTTCTGTTCTGTAGCGGCAGCCGAGCAAGCTGCATGGAGCCCCCGTCCAAGGGCAGAAACATAAAAAGAAAGAGAAAGCCCCAACGACCCTGGAACTTACTGAGCGGCTGGACGGGCCATCAAAAGCATTGAGGCACCGGACGAAGCGGGTGCTCAGTATGCTTTTTGAGGCGCAGCGGCTCGCAGTGCAGATCAGATGCGTTTCCAAAAAACCTTGTGCTTTGCATGGATTGTCTTGGCCATGAGCAAAACGTCCGCAAAAGCCTCGCTCGTAGAAGGCGTCCAAACCTCATTTGCTTGCGGCTCCTTGCCAAGGGAGCGGCGTAAGAGGCGTCTCTCCGGCTCGAAGAAACTACAATTGAGCCAGACGTGGTGCCACAAGGCTCCTGCAGAGTACCTGCGTTCACAGGCGATGCAATGTTGCACATTGGCTTGCGACGGTTTGCCCTCCACATGTCCAAGCCTCAGGTGCCCCGCCCTAAACTTGACGAGGCTCAACACTGCACGCAGGGCTTCCCAAGGAAGATGCTGCGCAAAGTTGAAGGGGGGTTCGGGCAAGGACGAATAAAGCACAGGAGCCGTGTGGCAGCTAAGCTCAGAAAGCAGCTTAGATTGACACAAAACAGTGAGGTGAAGTTTACAGTATGCCGTGTAAGCTTCGAGGCTACGATCGGCCATGAGCCTGGTAGAGCACCACACAGGCCAATCTAAGAGGCCCCACTCGAGCAGCAGGAGCTTCGACCTGGTCGTCCAGGAGCTGCCGAAGCAGTCACACATGGTGAACACAGTCCCTGCTAAGCTTGAATCTGCTGCGTTCCACAGTCTGGCTCTGCGGGAAGCAACATCCAGCACACATTGCGCCGATCCGGTCATGTGCCAACCGAGCTCCGCCATGTTTACTGCAGAGTTTCTCCAAGGCTCAGCTCCTAAAATTGTTCTTGCCCAGGCACGTTGTGCATCATCCAATCTTGCACGGGAAATCGGGGACAGCCCCCAGAGCCATCTCCCAAAACGTAGACTGGCATTGATTTTTATCTCAAAAAGATGCAGCGCTACTGAGAGGGGTAAGGATCCACCTTGCACCATGCCTGCCAGCATGGCCACCTTGGACTGTTGTGCTGCAATGGTCATAAGGGCGTGCCGCTCCAGCGTGGATTGAAAATCCCACATTAAACCCAGCCACTTGTGGGAGTCAACTGTTTGCAGGGGGACCGGGGCGGGCATGGTGAAGGACTGATACAAGAAAAAAGCATTCGGCTCGAAAACTGCCTTTTGCGTGGGGCCAGCTATGAGCATGACAACTGATTTGCTGTTGGAGACATGTAGGCAGGCCTTGTACTTTTTTGACCACGCTGCAATGATTTGCAGCATTCGCCTGAGTTCTCCTTTGCTTGAGGCCAGGAAGAGCGGATCGTCGGCGTGGAGTAAGACGGGAATGCGATAAGGATCAGAGAGATCCAAAGCTCGCGCTGCACTTGCTTCCAGATCTGGATC